TGACACCAACGATATGAAAGTCGGAAGTCAAGTGCTGAATGGAGGACACAAACTGATTTGTACATCGATGTTATTGTAATTGAGTTGTACGTAATTAAAATTTGATGCATAATAAAGTTGAGCCATAGAAAAATTCTTCAATTCATTTTTTCCCCTTCAACCAGTACTAAATAATCTAAATAAGTTGTATCTTGTTGTAACGGAGTTGTTTTTCAGGAAGTAACAATAAAGGTTAATCAACACAATAACGATTGAACAGTGTATTTTTTCTATTAAAGCTATAGGTAATTTAACAAGTTTTATTTCAGGAACTTTGGACGTCATCTTTTTAAACTTTTTTTCCATCAAACATCGCCATCTCCCAGACGTTTTTTGGGGGGGCGCGCCCTCTCAAGACCGAGCACGTGATCGTTTGACGTATCCTCCCGAAAAGCTCGTTTTGAGAAGTACTTTTGACTGCGTTCTTGAAGAAACAAATGGCGACACTGAATACGACTGAAAAACGACTCCAAGTTCTAAAAGGTAAGCTTGGCAGATATGTTTCTTTTTACAGTTGTTTTAACTGCTAGATTATCTTTTTTTGTTTCAGATTTAATTAGTGCGTGAAGTAAAGGTCTGCCAGCGCCAAGAGGTAAGGAAGATTAAATCGGACCCGAATAAAATGGACTCTGAGTATACAAAATTGTGATTTTGCTTATAGATGCACTTATCCTCAGATAATACTGAAGCTTGTTCATTCAAACTTTAGTGGGATTCAACTCCACGATCTTTGTTTAGTGGTACGTCTAGTCTACCAAAGAGGGAAATTAAAAGTTGTAGGATCCAAGTCGATGCATTGAATTTGTTTAGAGACAGCTGACATAAATTGATTGGATGTCGGCGGTCAATGCGTTCGGTTTTCAACTGCACAGCAAAGGTGGTATTTTGATATCATTAGTATTCTGTTTTAAGAAGTATTTTATTTAGGTCAGAGAGGTCCAGCCGTGTTATGGCAGTTCTGATCTCCCATCAGCAGCCATCTGTAACCTGTAAGTACCAAAATATGTGTCATTCCAGAAGTTGCGTCCAACACGTAGACGGTCTTTTCCCAACATTACGCTGCCTAGCGACGAAGCAGTCTCAACTCGCAACCCTACCTACAAGATCCAAGGTATGTATCACAAAGGTTTAAAATGTTCACTCAAAATATTATAAACGACTGAAAAATCCTTTGATTATTATAACAAGCCATAACTTTAATTTTAATGATCATGTTACTGAGCACTACAAAAAAGATGAATTTCGTGTTTTAATGGAATAGAAATCCAAGAGGCCATGTCTGAAACAATGGTTATGTACTGAATACTTTGTAGAGCAAAACTACAAGGAGGAACGAACATCAAGGATTAAACGCGAAGAGGATACCCTGGCGTGACATTGTTGACACTAAGGCGATCTGGTTTGTCTTTCTGTTAATTTTGCCTCGCTGGAGGGTTTTCTTCTTAGGAAGTCCTGCATTGCACTACGCAGGCACAGATCGTCTACAAATGGTAGGCGTATGTAGTCTTCACGTCGACCTTTCGTGGATATTGGTTTATTCGTCTTCCAGGAGCTCGAGTCATCAGCAATGTTCTACCTCCAACACGCTCTTTAAGTGCGTCATAGCTACGGTACTGGAATTGAATCCTATGCAGCAAACTCTTGAGTGGTATTTGCTTTGTATACGTTAAAAATGTGAATAAAATGAGTTTTTTTGACTTGTGTTGTATTGAATTGTATTAAATTATGGGTCCAGTGCTACATCAAAGGAAGAGGTCAGCCGAAGAAAGAAGAACAAAGAACTTCAAGAGCTATAGAAAGATAGTCCAGTTACTTATTAAGCAGGCGAGGTAGCTGCCTTTGCGGCGAAGAGTGGAGAAGGAGAATCTTGTAAAACCAAACCGAAGAAAACGATTATGATGACGATGATGATGACGATGGTGATGATGACGTCCATGATGATGATGATCGTTTACACTATGACGTCACTCTGCTTCTACAAAAATTATTTTCGTTTCCGTCGGATTAGGCTCATATTTAAACTGAAGAAAATTACGCTGAAAATTAGAGTGGCTGTTTTGCAAACAGAAGTCGATGACATGGTAGTGTAAACGACTTCCTGATTAGGTAGCCAAGGTAAAGCCAGAGGAGACATCATGTAGCAAGAACTTTAAAGAGCGGTCTTAACTTACGTTTGTATTCATAATTAAGGTCCTATATTTTCCCTCTCCGTGTTAGTGGGAGAAAATTTTAAAAATTTGAAACGAATCTGACGAATTAAACAAATTTTCAGTCTGGAATTCAGCAACCGGAAAACGCGATTCTGAAAATTGTTCAGCGAAGATGCAATTGAATCGTATCTTATATGGAATCCCCTGTTCGACAGTTGTTGTTGTTTTTGTCACATACTCCAATGTTAGTTGAGACAGCTACTAATATTTAATAATTTTAACTTTAATTGGCCGGCCGGACTTCATCTTTGGAGCAACTCATCATAGACGACGTATATTTTTTGGATTATCTACGTCTTGGTCTGTTGGATTGTGAGTCCCAGTATCCTTGGTCCTTTGGTGGAGGAACATGACGACAGAGTACAGCATCCCATATCAGGTAGGGCTGATCGATGTTGGTACAAAGTTTGTGAAAGGCAGACCCGCTTGGTCTGCGCTTGTTCTGCAATAGCGAACGACAAATTGAATTCCACGGCAGGCAACGTTGTTTTTGGAACAATCGAAGGTTAACGGCGTAGATAACGCAAACATTGCACCACATCAATCAGCCCAAGTAATGTTTCTGCGTGGCACAAGGTATGTGGAATTTTTTCTTGTTTTAGCCGATTAGATTTTCGGTTCTGTCCGTTCGGCTTGTTTACGGTTTTCGATTCGACTTTCGATCTGATTTCGGATTCGGCTTCAAAAAGGTGAAGGCTTGGTATCGACGATGTTTCGATAGCAAGCCGCAAAATATGCCTGCGTACCGTTCGGGGGACCCTGGTGTGTTTCATTCGAGGTGTCAACGTTTATGGACACATGTCACACTCCTCGGTTTTCCCCGGACGCCAAATTCTTGTAGGAGCGCACCCCATCTATATAAGTCACTTAACTTTTGTAATCGACGAACTGAATTCAATAAAAATACTTTGCCTAATGTGTTGTCTGTGTGATTTTTTCTTTTAACGTTAATGCTAAATCTATAGGGTCTTTACTTATAGGTACTAATGATGATTTGATTTGCAGGGATATCACTTATTCTAAATAATACTTGCTGTAATAACCTCAATAAAAAAAAATGAAACAAATAAAAAGGAGAGTTGTGAGTGTGATGTCTTTTAACACAAATACGCATATTGAATGACATTAAGTGTCGCATCTGTCTGTTCCACTGTAAACAAACAAATAACTAATTTTTTATTTCAGCTGCGTTGGAAATCACATATTTTCCCGTTTTTTGGACTTTTTCAAGAGTGAAAGGAGATACATCTTTTTGGGCGCGCCCTCTCAAGATCGCAAATGGATTTTGCTTTTTACACTTTTTCTACTTTTTGGATGCGTTCTTGAAGAAACGCATGACACCAACGATATGAAAGTCGGAAGTCAAGTGCTGAATGGAGGACACAAACTGATTTGTACATCGATGTTATTGTAATTGAGTTGTACGTAATTAAAATTTGATGCATAATAAAGTTGAGCCATAGAAAAATTCTTCAATTCATTTTTTCCCCTTCAACCAGTACTAAATAATCTAAATAAGTTGTATCTTGTTGTAACGGAGTTGTTTTTCAGGAAGTAACAATAAAGGTTAATCAACACAATAACGATTGAACAGTGTATTTTTTCTATTAAAGCTATAGGTAATTTAACAAGTTTTATTTCAGGAACTTTGGACGTCATCTTTTTAAACTTTTTTTCCATCAAACATCGCCATCTCCCAGACGTTTTTTGGGGGGGCGCGCCCTCTCAAGACCGAGCACGTGATCGTTTGACGTATCCTCCCGAAAAGCTCGTTTTGAGAAGTACTTTTGACTGCGTTCTTGAAGAAACAAATGGCGACACTGAATACGACTGAAAAACGACTCCAAGTTCTAAAAGGTAAGCTTGGCAGATATGTTTCTTTTTACAGTTGTTTTAACTGCTAGATTATCTTTTTTTGTTTCAGATTTAATTAGTGCGTGAAGTAAAGGTCTGCCAGCGCCAAGAGGTAAGGAAGATTAAATCGGACCCGAATAAAATGGACTCTGAGTATACAAAATTGTGATTTTGCTTATAGATGCACTTATCCTCAGATAATACTGAAGCTTGTTCATTCAAACTTTAGTGGGATTCAACTCCACGATCTTTGTTTAGTGGTACGTCTAGTCTACCAAAGAGGGAAATTAAAAGTTGTAGGATCCAAGTCGATGCATTGAATTTGTTTAGAGACAGCTGACATAAATTGATTGGATGTCGGCGGTCAATGCGTTCGGTTTTCAACTGCACAGCAAAGGTGGTATTTTGATATCATTAGTATTCTGTTTTAAGAAGTATTTTATTTAGGTCAGAGAGGTCCAGCCGTGTTATGGCAGTTCTGATCTCCCATCAGCAGCCATCTGTAACCTGTAAGTACCAAAATATGTGTCATTCCAGAAGTTGCGTCCAACACGTAGACGGTCTTTTCCCAACATTACGCTGCCTAGCGACGAAGCAGTCTCAACTCGCAACCCTACCTACAAGATCCAAGGTATGTATCACAAAGGTTTAAAATGTTCACTCAAAATATTATAAACGACTGAAAAATCCTTTGATTATTATAACAAGCCATAACTTTAATTTTAATGATCATGTTACTGAGCACTACAAAAAAGATGAATTTCGTGTTTTAATGGAATAGAAATCCAAGAGGCCATGTCTGAAACAATGGTTATGTACTGAATACTTTGTAGAGCAAAACTACAAGGAGGAACGAACATCAAGGATTAAACGCGGAATTAATATCAGCATTCAGTTGTAAGAACCAAGGGGAAGGTCTTGCTTGTATTCTGAGTTAATTTTCTTGAGAAACCTTACATTAAGGTCAGAAAATCCTTGATGTCAGTGAGCAGAAGAGCAACACGCAAGTCTCGTCAACTGTTACATGGTGATTCAGTGAACGAGCCCGCTTGGTTGACCATGGGTAAGTGCAGGAAAAAGGTCTACGAATGCGTTAAAAAAATATAATCAGGAAAGAGGCGGACTCCGGCTATTTTCTGTCAAAGTTTTAGTGATTTTGCTTGCAGTCTTGTTTCCTTTTTCTAGAGAGGTGAAGGAACTGTTGGTGAGGCACCGTCATGAGTAGAGGGTTGGACAAATGATTGACACCCATTGATTATGATGATTATCTTGCCGGTGACGACAATGATGATAAAAACGACGATAAAGCAACGGTGATGTTAGGAGCAAACGATGACGATGGTCGTTATCATGAAGATAAATCTATGACCTTTTTAAACAGGTGAAACATACATTGAATGTTAAACTAGAAATACGCGTATCGGAAGAACCTCGCGGGGCTCAAGGCAACCTCTTTCCCAGAATCCCCTTGGGGGACGAGTAGGAAGGGAAAACTGTGAACGAGGTTGGGGTGGGAGTTGGCAGGGCCCAAGGTTGGGAGGGCGGAGAGAAATAAAGTAAATTGTCCAGTTAAATACCTAGAGTAACACAACATCAGAGGCAAAAGGAAGTTGAGTTTTTTTCCCGATAGTTCGGAGGGTCTTGGCGTTCTTCTCGGAGAATTTAAAGGCGAGTAGGGATAAATTAAAAATAATGACATGCGAATGAAGCACATGATGGACTCATTTGAAGCACAAAAGAAAAAAATGGCAAAAAAAATAAATGTAGATAAATGGAACAAAAATGGAACAAGAATGAAAATGAAAACAAGAAGTGAATTAAAGAAATGAAAACTGTATTGAAAGATAAAATAAAATATCTATACATAATAAATATAAAAAATGATTAAATTGAAATTAAAGCCCAATAAATGATGTAATAATAAACATAATAAAAATAATGATTACGATTATGATAATAGAAGGGAAAATTACTAGATTGATTTTTGAAGACGTAACTGCAACGACTAATTGAAGCAGTCACGTTTTACGTATAAAAATCAGTAGGCTTTAGTTTCAAAGTCATTTTTGTTTAATTATTTTTATTTATTTAGTTTTTTGTCCCATCCTTTTGTGCAAAAAAATATTATTTTTAAGCTTTATCCCTATTTAGCCATACTGTTTTGAGTTCAAAGTTAGCTTAATGTATCAAATTGTACCACTTTCATGGTATATGAGAACTACCTGACAATCTTAAATACCTGGAAACGCCCAGTTCTCTTTTGCCGGCTTTGCTGTTTTGTTATAATGAAATTATAGCGGAGCTCCTTGCGCGCGCGAAGCACCATAACTAAAAGAAACTATCCATCCGAGAAATTTTGGTTATGACGTCAGCGTACGTCCGTCCGTACGGACTTTCCGGGTAGTGGCAAGAAGTCCGCATCGACTCTTGGGGTAGGGGAAAGTAGAGATTTTTTGGCGGGAAATCGCATGGCGCAACGTCGCGCAGTATCGCGCAACTGGTTTTGAAAAAAGAAATTTCAAAGCAACTTAGCAAAAAGATTTTTCGACAGAGCCTTTATAACTTTTTATTACAACTTACGAAAGCTATTATGTCAACAAACAACAGCAGAGAGATTTTAGCGTGTAGATGACAGGTTTTAAGCAGAGAGCAAAGAGAAGGTGAACGGCAGAGAGCAAGAGTCAACTCCCGTAGAACAAGCGAAGACGATCGCCAAAGAGAGCGCGTTAGAAGTAGAAGAAGAAGACAACATTTTAGCGAAGAAAGTCGGCAAGTAGAAAGAGTCAGAGCGAGAAGAAGGAGAGAAAATTATAGTGAAAAACGCCGGCAAACAGAACGAGACAGAGCTAGAATGAACAGACAAAGGCAACGCGAAAGAGAAATACAAAGCCAAAGAGAACGGCAGCAACATAATGACATGATGACAGAAAGTGTTGTGTTAATGTCACTATGGCCCCGCGTTATTAACATTTTGATTTCAAACTGATCTCGGACGCGAAAATTCAGCCAGTCATTTAAAAATACAAGCAGGGAAGACAGAGGCTTTTCACTTTTCTCACCATAGTCACGCGTTGATCACGCTCTACGACCGTCCAATTTTTATGCTCTGATTGGTCAAAATTTGACAGGTGAGTTCATGCAGAAAATTTATACAGCATCTTGAACCTTGTTTACTTTGACAGCTGAAGCTGACAGAGTATTTTGTCAACTTGTGATGTTTTTTACTGTCTTTTCCCACTGGATGCTTAAAATGAAATACAGCTGCTATCAACAGTCTTCTTTGATTCATGGCTGGTTTGTTTATTGAATTTTTGGTTGGGAAATGCGCCGGTTGTCAAAGTTGGAAATCCGATTTCGGATGCATCGTTTTCGTTTTTCACCTTGCTGGATGCGGGGTTGAAAAGTCCCTCAAGCGATTCTGGCCTTACTTGATAGCTTTCAAGAGCTGCATCTCGAATGGTAAGCCTGAGTAATTATTGTATACAGTGTATGTTTGTTTTTTTATATCTAATTTCATGAAGTCGAGCGCAGTTTATGAGGCTAATTTATGCACGTTTGTATTAAGATCTGAGACAATGATCTGATCTAGTATATATAAGCTTACAGAGCTTTAAAAAGCCTTTAGTCGATATTTTCTCTCCGCATATAGAATGAAAAAACGTTCCGAAGAGTATTTAGTTATAATTTTGGCTGTAGAAAGAAAGCTTTGAGCGATTTTCTTGCCTCGAGTTCATCTCTGAAAACAGTAAACACCAGGAAGCCGGCTAAAAGCTTTAGGCTTAAGCGTAAAGACTCAGGATTTTTAGAGACGCTTTAATACTTGTCTTCGTGAATGAAAATTGTTGTCTCTGTAAATGTTTCACCGAATTACATTTCTTTTATTGATTGTTAGTAGTCTCTTGCAATTGCTTTGCTGTTTGTTTTCAGTCGTTCACAGACAACGCTTGCAGGAGTACTCAAAATGCGCGCGTTTGTACATCGTTATAAAGCCATTAAATAAAAAAAAAATAAACAATAAATTTTTTATTATGTTGAAGCATAACTCTTTTAATGTTCACTGAAAATTTGGCGCTTGTCAAAAGTGACAACCGGCTGGCCGTATAGGTGATTTTGGAAATTTTTTGAACGGTTTTGCTAAAAGCCCACGCGTGCTTCGTACGGTTTTGAATATTGAATGAGTGCAATTTGTCTTGAAAAATTGTGAAATACTGCATTTTGTCTGAGGTCTGTATGATAAAAACAGCGCCTCATATTACTGTTTCACCTCAGATGTGATGCATAAAAAGTATGAAATGTTGGTTTACACGCTCCCAGAGTTGTTGGCAAGATTTTTTTAAGTAGACCTTTTGAACGCAAAAAATTCGGCCTGATTTGTTTTTTCCATGAATTCGTTTTCCAGGCCTAATCTACTGTGATCAAGAGCTATTATGGCTCTTAAATGTGATCGACGATGATTGCTATTTTTTGGGTGTATATATACCGGCTATGAATTCGATGTAAGATTTTTTTTTCACTCTAAAATCACTTAGCCTTAGCTTTCCCTAAAAAGTCACATATGTGCCATTAAGTTAACTGATTTGTGGATTACAAGTTTATTGTTTGATTTAAATTATAAATTTATTAATGGGAGCTTCGCTTTTAGCCCTGGCTAAATCTATATATTAGTTGATGATATACACACATAAAGAAGGAGTGAGGGAAAACTAAGCTTTGATAATAAGTTCAATTAAACGTGTGGTCTTGATTTTTGCGTGGAGAAATTTCGTAGCAGAGAACGTTAACAAGCTTTGTAGCCTGATGAGGCACCAAGATGTGAAGAGGTCCACACCGTAGATGAAAGACGCCTGTCACATGGATGATGATGCTAACGATGACGACGGCGATGATGATGATGACTACGATAATGACGACAACGATGACGATGGTGATGCCGACGATGATGCTGATGATGACGACGACGACGACGACGACGACGACGACGATGCTGCTGATAATAAGGATGTTGACGATGATGATGATGACGACGACGATGACGATGATGATGATGCTGATGATGACGACGATAGTGAGGATGATGATGATGCTGACGATGATTTTGAAAACGATGATGATAATGATGATGCAGACGACAACGATGATTATCATGATAAAGATGATAAAGAAACCCCAAAGCCCATGAAGCCTTTTACTGGTGAGCATCATAAAACTATTCTAAGCCAAGTGCCCGTAAAGAGTCATGTCCTTCTTATGGAGAGCTAAATAAAGGAATTAAAGAAAGGCAACGACCAACTATCTTTAATTTATACCTACAATCATCGTCAAAAGTGTTGGAAAGGCTGCTACTTTGTACTTCGTTTTTTCTCTTCTTTTCCCCGCCCCTGGCCCAATGTTGAGCAAAACTTTAATGTTTGTGCTGGTAATTGTTCTGTTATATTCCAACATTAAATACGCGGGGGGTTGGGGGGTGCGAGGGGATGGGGGATATTTAGCAAACGAGAAAGGAAGACTCTTTTTTGAGGATTAAAATGGACTACAGTTAAGTTTTACAACCTTCCCAACTACTTTTGTCTGGGATTGTACCTTACTGTCTTTTGGAGGTGTCCGTCAAGTGAGAGCGATGTTAATGTTAGTAATGATCCGGGTAAGTTGGGAAGAAGTTTCTTTGGTTTTGCGACAATGTGCTCTCCCCACATAGGAATGTTCTGATTTTTAACACAGAGAATGCAAGAACCTACAAAAAGGCCGTTTACGCGAGAAAATGTAGTCTAACTACATTTTAAAGGAGTTGCATATAATAGCCAAGGAAATTTCACAATTTAACGTGTTCCTCACATAGGATTTCTATGTTATTCAGACTGAGACGAGATAGTATTGTTGTTTGGAAGTTGGTTGGAAAAGTAAAAATGAATATATATATATACTGCTTTATGAAGTTTTCTGATCTTAAGTTTTGCTGTTTAAGCCAATCAGAAGTATAGCACAGATAATAGTAAAGTTAGCACCTTTTTGCACTGTTCATAGCCGTTGTTGCTTTCCTTATCTGGACCGTTTCTTAATTGTCGACGATTGAAAAAAAAATAGAAAGAAAGTAGGCATTGATTGTACCAGCTTCCTCAATGACAAAATAAAGGCCAAACATTCTTAAATACACGACTAAAGTACTTTCAGCAGCAGGGAAATAAACCTGGGAGATCCTTATTAAAAAATTAAACAATAAGGGTACCTTCTGCTTTCGTCCTAACAGCTTCCGAAAAAAGAGTGCAATTGGGTGTGGTCCATGTATTATCATATCGGAGGATTGGTGTGGATGTATGCTACCCTACTACCAATCATGCAGCACAAGGAACTAAGCGAAGATCAACTTTAAACTTATATTACGATAGACTTTTTTTATATTCAAGTAGGATCCATGATTAAACAGAGTGTTTTCCGCAACGAGCTCGCACGTTATTTTATAGAACAGAAAAGAGTCGTTTGGTGCCCTTGATGATGTAAAGGAAGAAAGCTATTTTACTATTTTTACAAATGACAAGACTTTTTTGCGAGCATTTGTTGTTTTAATGTAATATTAATATCATCCGCTATTCGGCTACAATTTGGAACTTCTGAATTCTTCTTAATGAATGCCACAAACCCTGATTTAATTTATAGTTAACATGTAACATAAACAGCAATAACCTTTTAATGCATGAAGATTTTCAGACGTTCCGAGGAAATTTTTTTCCTTATCTGAATTTTTCAGTGCAAAAAAAATTAAAACGTTATAGCTACTGATTCAGTGATAGGTAGGATTTCATAGCCTTCAATCCTTTACATTGATTCAATGAACATAAAAAGTTTACTGAATATCTATTGCGAGCGAAAATCGCTTTTGATATCATTGCTCGAGCACTTTGAAACGGCGATGAAAGATACTCAGTTCTTGCTATTATAGAGTCAACGCCGTCGACAACTCCGATTAAAACTTTCTTTTTTTCTTTTTTTAACTTTCAGCCAAGTTAACAGATATATTGTTTATTCACCTCAAGTTCTTTTTTCTCGTAGTTATTATATACGGTAGGAGGCCTTAAACCCCAAAGGCAGCACCATAGCACTGGTCGGGGTCACATGGGCCCTATTTTTTTCCAAAATTGTTTTTTGGGGTTTACGTGTCCGGCTGTGGTGTATTAACTTATACTTTTAGATACATTTACTTATGTATTAGCTTGTATTACTTAATATCAATAAAGTATACTAGCACTGACTGAAAAAGCGCGTGTTTATTATTTTTCTCNCTGGTCGGGGTCACATGGGCCCTATTTTTTTCCAAAATTGTTTTTTGGGGTTTACGTGTCCGGCTGTGGTGTATTAACTTATACTTTTAGATACATTTACTTATGTATTAGCTTGTATTACTTAATATCAATAAAGTATACTAGCACTGACTGAAAAAGCGCGTGTTTATTATTTTTCTCTGATAAGGCGCACTATCATTACTTTAGATCAACGGACAACTTGAATCCGAGTATAGACCAACTTATAAAGCACCGCGCTTTAACGGCGAACGCCGAACGCCAGCTAGGCGTTTGTCGTTTGTCGTTCCGTTCGCTGTGTTTGTTTGTTTGTTTGATCTTCCCCTCGACAAGTTATATGTTAAAAATATGTACAGAATTTGTCCAAAATATATAATAATTGACTACGGTATTAACTAGACAATGTTTCGGCATACTTCTTTATATTTCTTTTAAACAAAGTAAAATACATAGTACACAGCAAGTGTTCTCGGTGGCCATCCTTTGAGACTGGAGAAATTAGACAGAAAAATATACAGAGAAGTTGTCATCTTTTTTCGCTCGAATTTGAAACTCTCTTAGTTTTACAAACAGTACTTGTAGAAGAAGGATGCGTGAAAAACAAAGCATAGCTATTAATAAAAACAAGCGATCAAAATGAAGAAAAAGTCGGTACAAATGGCTGGAATTTGCTTAGATAATTTTCTCAAATCTTAAAGCATCGAATCGTAAAATTGCTGAAAATAATTGAACTGATTAAAATTTGTTTCAGGCCTTCATATTTGAATTCAAATTTCGCACCAACCCCGAGTTATCTTAACACATGGTTTAAACAACTCGGTCCAGCCTATCATATATAAGCTCTATTGAAAACTTTTTATTAGCGCTGGCCAAAGGAAGATGTCTTTCGAACGAGTGCAAATCCTTATTTTTGGCCTTAAATTCACCCTGTGCCTAACTAAGGTGAAACTCCATAATGAAAAATCATGAAAAGTTCACAATCAAGAGAATTGCTCTGATTTTCTCGAACACAAATTTCAAACACTTGCGTCGATTTTTATTAATTCTCTGTTAATTAGGTCTATTATACCGTCTGTTAGGATGTGGAACTTGTTTTTTTTTCCTCTAGATTTAATCTATAAGAAGTATTAAGGAACAAAGACCTGAATTTAAACCCTCGATGTTATTTCTTCTTTTCTCTATGTTTTGTATTCCAAAAAACACGAAAGTAGAAATAATAAAAACCTTTGTGTGAACTTGTCTGAGCTTGATTCGTGCTTCTTGCTTGGTCGATAGACCTTGTCACGGTTTTCGACGCCATCTTGACGAGTAGGCAAACGCGTGAGAAATTACAGTGTTTGTATGAGAATCTAATGTCGAATAATTTCTGTAAAACGGCTGTTCTGAACAAAATGTAGCGTAACCGGGCTGGCCCACCTCATATAAACAGGCCCTTATCCTTCGTCCAATTCTGTTAGGGCCTGTTTACCTGGAAGTGGGGGCTTCAAGACAGGTGAGGTTACTTGTGGTGGGTCACCCCACCTATCATGTAAATGCAAGAGCCATTTATTATGGCTCTTGGTTAATGTGATCAAATAAAAATGAGAGATTATATGGACAGACGATTACCTCACCAACCTGGGGTACCTCACCAAAGCGGGTTACCTCACCTACCTGGGGTCCCCCTGACCTCCATGTAAACAGGCCCTTAGATCCGGTTACAAATTATATGGCTGGTGCATTTATTTAAGGTCCTGTTAACACCTGTCACCATACATGTGATAGGACCTAATCGATTAATCAACGAGCATAATGCGATTACAAAGAGTCATGTTTAGTTTTTGTGACAGAATGTGGTTATATCCACGATACAGATTCCTGTCCACAAAACGGAGACTAAAACAACTGAAAAGGTGCTTGAAAGTGTAATTAACTTCGGGAAATATTACTCAAAACGAGTCTCAATAAAGATTCAACCGTCTTTCTTATTTGCTTTTCCCAAGTGGCTCGTCCTCTAAGGGAAACGGAGAAAGCCTTCCCTAAAGCTTTGAGGCCACGTTTTATCGTGTGGCCTATTGTCCGCCGTTCGTCTTGTCTACGTCACCAAAATGCGTTGACCGAGAAGGCCTGGGGAGACGCTGTACAGGGAGCAGCCCCCAAGAGTAGCCCACAACAACTGACAACAGAGGAATTAAGGCCCGGCCTAAAAATATTTTCTTGGCCCCAGTGGTGAGGGCCCAGGGGACTACCCCAGATCTGCCACTGTACGTTATTTACTGTTTGGCCAATTAATAAAACAAACACATGAACATGAACCTTTTTTTCTTTATTTTTGTTCCTTTTCATCGAGGCACAAGGAATACAAGCACTTTAGAAAGTTAAGCCTACAACTGCATCTCCAACTTTAAAATTCCACAGACTCGAGATTTCACTTGGAAGGTGCACTTCATTGTTGCCTCATCGCAAGTAGACTGCCAAGACATCTGTCTTTTCAACGTTGCCTGAAATTAGGAAAAACGTACTGTGGACGTCAACCGCGGCAGTGTTAGCTCAGTCGCGCGGTAGAGCGTGTTGACTGCAGAGCGGGAGGTCGCGGCTTCGATTCCTGGGGCCGGACCAATACTCAGGGTCTTAAATAGACGAGAAATGAAGGTACTCCCTTTGCACTGCAAGCGGCTTGACCTTCGCGTGGCTCGGATGACCACGTAAAATGGCGGTCCCGTCTCCAGTTGGAGACGTAAAATATAGTGTCCCCAATTAGTACTTTCGTGCTAAATACATTGACACTCAATTAAAGTGCAAGATGACACAGGAATAACCACAGAGTAAGAAAAGAAAGAAGAAGCTGCACCCTACATTTCTTAATAAATAGAGTATTCTTATTTGTTGGGGGAAAAGTTTCTAGGTGTT